AGGTGAAAAAGCGAAAACTTTCCGTAAAAAGCGGAAGAGATGGCATTCCTGTTTGGCACTGTGGTAGGACAAAACATTAGTGTACATGTAACTTGTTGGTAAGCACAGCCACAATAATTACAATCATCCATGAATGTTTGACCATTCATATAATATTCTCCCTTATATTCACAGTCTCCCTTTGATGATGACGTTGATGATTTGTATTCAAATTTTTCACCCAAAGATTGCCCATTGTGATGCCGTAACGTACCAGCTTTTAATGTTATTAATATTGTAATTAAATAAAATAAAATAAACATAAACTGTCTGTTACTTTTCTTCATGTGCTAGTGTATGAATTGAGGCCCAAGACAAATTGCTTACCTACTCTTTCCCCACTCATTTTTCGCGGAAAAAATCGATGTGTTTGCTCAAGAAACTCTTATGCAACTGGTTTCAACTGCGCAGAAAAAGTCTGATAAGTAATCGACGAATGGCGCACTTTGTTGGTTATCAGAGTAGATTTTTTTGGCTTGTAAAAGAAACAGCAAAGTCAATACTCAGGTGAAAGGAAGCTGAATCAACATTGGTCGATCACGACATCATGCAATTTTAGTGCAATTGTAAAGAAAAACCATTTTTGAGATATTGCTGCACAAAATAATAAATAAAAATAATAATGAAAAATATTTTTAAGGGAGAAAATCTTGTCAGCTATTGACCGCTGGATTCTGGAGGCATTTTAATGCGGTATAGAATTGAACTCTGCAACCAACAACAATAAGATAGTTGAGTGATAGAAGCATTACTAAACAACTTGTGTTCGAAGTGGGCGTTTTGCCGATGTTGAGTGAAAGCAAGCATGAACAAAGATTTATCACATTATACGCGACATCATGAGAATGGACTATTAGTTGACGAGAAAAATCTGTGTTTCGAAAAGATTGAGCAGAAAAGTATTATCCATTTTTGAGAATAAGTCGCTTGGGCAGAATTCTTATAACTTTTGAAAGGAAAACGATAGAGACCTGTGGTTTTCGTTGTTCAGTAGAGCACAACAGGGCACATATTACTATGAAATAACCGAGCCGTCAAGTAAGGTTTACCATGATAAACCCTCGAATGCAAACTTGGCGAGATTACCATTCCCTGAGCGCACGGCCGATTTTGATTTCCAAATAACGAAACGAATAGCGCGGACCAAGATTTATAATTCTAGACCAACCCCATGTCTGTAGTTTTTATGGTTCAGGAGTTATATACATTCTTCGTAAAGGTATCGACTTCTATCAGGTCATTAAACGTTGGCCAAAATTCTAAATACTGCCACGTATCTCACCGTACCTAAAATCTTACATGTCAAATGTTTATAAATTTTTGTTTGTATCCAAGTATGAGTAGATATCTTTGCAAAAAACACTTATAACTCTCAAATTGTAAGCGATAAAGACGTAAAACTGGTCAAAAATTGTAAATCTCGATTCAAACTATTGATTTCACTATTTGGAAATCAAAATCGTTCATACTCTAAGGAATTTGAGCGTTGCAGAGTTTGCATTCAAAGATTTATCATGGAATACTTTAGTTGAAGGCTCGGTTATTTCATAGTAATACGTGCCCTGCTGTTCTCTATCCAACAATGAAAATCACAGATCTCTCTCATTTTCCTTTCAAAAGTTATAAGAATTCTGCCCAAGCGACTTATTTTCAAAAATGGATAATAGGTTTGTT